TTAAGATATCAAAAGGATACTACATAATTACATATAAAAAATTTAGTGCCATCAATTGGGCTATTAAAATGATCTTGTTATTCGTTGATGTTTTAGAAATATTATTACGCCAAATAATTTTGGATTCATAACGTTCTCTTCACACTTGTAACATTTCCTGCACCCGAAACAAACGTACTTATTGCAAGAATTGCAAGAAATTTTCGTGACCTTTACCTTAGAATTAGAAAACGCCGTTTTTGTGAAGACCGCCTTATTGAGTTTCTTTGTCATGGTTACTATGATCAATCAAAGTGTTACCAAACCTAGGATGTTTTTTTAGATCACCATGTATTTCCGATTGTTTTACAGAACTATTAATAACTGCCTCTATAATTTTGGTTCTTCACGGATTGACATATTAATATAAGAATATATTTAGTATTCACCGGAGGTGAAATTCACCATGATTTGGTTTTAATTATTGTGGCGGCTTATGCTGAAATTAGCTTATGCTGAAATTTTGCCGTATTTTACGTATGTAAAATTACAAAAATTTTGAGGGTCTTTTTTGTGGTCTTTTTTTTTATATTTAGGTTAGAGTTTTAGGATAGTGTTATTAATAAAAGAGTACGTATATGTGAATTTTATCAGTTATTATAAGGTTAAATAGAACCTCCAAATTTCAGCATAAGCCACCACAATTATTACATGATCTATAGAAAATTTTATCACGGATTTTAAAGCAAAAATAAACTTTAAGGTTTAAGGCTTAAATCAAAGTCGAGGGTAGGTTTTTAGGGTGCTGAACATTTTTACTTAGTATACCAAATATTGATTATTAAAGCATTTTTGAGAAAACAGATGAACAAACTGTTATAGATGGACAGATTTAGAGTTGTACTATTTTGAACGTGGAATGGAAGAGCTTGGAACAAGATAAGGCGACATTTTGAAAAGTTGAAACATAATGGACCATTAAGGAACTGTACCCGGTGAATTCCACCCCGGTGAGCGTTAAAATCTTCCTTAATATAATTATATTCACTTTCTTCGTTAATAAAAGAGAATTCTACGAGAACATTGGCAGAAAATGCAGTATCTTTATTCAATCTTAATCAAATTCGAAGGTTTTATTTAAAAAATTTATCACTATCAAACATACCGTAGCCATATACAAGACCCGAGTCTCTTATATCAACCAATTTTAAGACCTATAATAGATCCCAGCTATAGTACATGGTTGAAAACTTATGTTACTAAAAGAAAATTTTAAAGAGCTTGCATAGTTCTTATAAAAAGCAGTCTAGATGTTAAAAAAAAAAGTAATTGATTATCGCGATTTGCATAGTACTGTACATAGGTGAGTCTACTATTATGGGGATCTTGAATACGGTGGTTAAATTTTAACTTTGACCGATGCTCGGTGATTGATCGAATTAAAACTCAATGAATGAAGCTTATTTCGATGCTCGAAGTTTTTGATCAATGTCCGTATAATTATTCCTCTCCAGTTACTATACATAAATCATATAATAATAAATTACAGCTTCGGATCAGGTGTAACGTGAAAACAAAACAAACTGTTGGCTTTTTTTAAAAAATCGGTCATAACTCAAAATTTCGACTACAAAACTACTTCCTGCGTCTTAGCAAAAAAAAATTCCTTGCAAAATTTTGCTATATATCCCACCTTTTCTACTATCATCCTAGTGCTCACCCTTATCCTAACGTAAAAAGTTAATTTTTTGATCGAAAAACACGTTGACGATCTGCGGTTTGTTTTGGCCAATGAAATGTTAGCGTATATCATCACGAGACCGCGAATTAAAGATCATGAAGAACAATTTTAATGTTAAAGCTTTAGTGATAATAGTCGAAGATATTCATACGAGAGAATTTTTTTCGATTTGGAGATTATTAAAATTAATGATAACATTTCATGTTCAATTGAATTGTATGACTGTATTTGATTGGTCAATTGCTATTAAGGGGTCCGTCTCATCAAAAATGAAGATATTGCTTTGCCTTCATATGTTATAAGGCAATTATTAGATCTCTATAGTGTCAAGTTTGTGGCGTGACTGTGACGATTTCAAGATCAGGTGTAACGTAACACGATCAGAAAATTCGTTTTGTGTTTTTCTTGGCCCAACTCATATAATACATATAGATTTTTACCTCCTCATCCCTAAATGCAAAATTTTTTAATTTTTTCATATCGATATAGGCCCGGAGATCTAACTGTAGATCTTGCGATTTACATTACACCTGAACTTGAAATTTGATTCGTAGCTCAGGAAATCTACGCCACAAACCTGGCATACATTTCAATTAGAACCTCATGATTTTTCATAAGTTACTCTAACACTAATAGTCCAGATGATAATTTAGTCTTGATTGGCTGGAACAAAGAATCTTCATTGATCCAAATAGAATACCTTTCTTTATGGCTAGGATTCTGTTGTGGTATCATGTGATTAAGGACAATCTCTTTTTTTAAGAAAACCTTTTTCGGTATTTTGTACAGTAATCATTCTTGTTTGATATGTTCATAATATAGTTATTAGACTATTCATAATATGCTATTGGACTATTTATGATATGTTATTAGACGATTCATAATATGTTATTAAACAAATTGAATAAAACATTATACAGTACAATATAAATATAAATAAAACACATATTATATGTTTAAGTTTATTAAAACTTTCGTCCCACGTCCCACGTCCCACTCTAAGTACGTACGTACTCGTCCCAAGTCTCACTCTAAATTTATTAAAACCGCACTTTTCCCACGTCTCATTCTAAGTTTATTTTAAATAATATTAAAACAAATCTATCGCTATTTCCAACATACTAATATGTTTGGATCAGTAAACAATCTAAATATCAGATATGTGGTAGTACCAAGAAATCTGAAGGCAGCCAATCCAGCAACAGACCAAAGAATAATCGCCATATATTTATCCGTTCTTGATGCATCACCACTAACATATGTGACTACGATTATTAATAATGCATTGCTAAAAATCCAAAGAAGCACAACCATTGTTCGAAACGATTTTCTAGAATCTTCTTTTTTTTGTGATGGTGTAGCAATCGATACATCATCAACCTTTGGTTGCCTTACTGCATCAAGTGCTTGTTTATATACATCGTTAACATCTTCAGGCACTGTAACTTCGACTGTAGGCTTTCCCGAACTAGACACAACATTGACAGCTTTCTGTAACTTTGATACATCTGGTCGATTACCCCAACTATAAATATCAAAAAAAAGTAAATTAGTATAATAAATATTAAAAATAAATAAATAAATAAATAAAAATAAATATATTTAAATAAATATATATATAATTTTAATATACATTACCTAACATCATGGATATTACAAAAAGCATAAATATTTAAGATAATAATATAAAATGGTACCAACAATATATATTGTAAAATACAAATAAACATATGCCACGGATCAAACATCATAAAACTTGCTATTAGGTACAAGCCATATGTGGAAACTAATGAAAGGATAATGTTACTAAAAGTAGTATTCTTAAGAATAGCATTTACAGT